CTAAAATATGTTAACTTGTTTGCTACAAGAAACAATTTTTGTTGCAGTTATGGTTTAATCTTAAATACTTTGTCACTATTGAGGACAAATGGTATTTCACTGATTTATCATGAAATACAATTACACCACATAGCATATCTATGTATGCTCTAATGTTACTTTTGCACATATTTCCTGTTAACTGTTATTATTATTATTATTATTATTATTATTATTGTTATTTATATAGTGCCAACAAATTTTACAGTGCTATACAATTGGTGGAATAACAGACATGTAGTCGAGTAGAGAAGTTGGACATACAGGAGCAGAGGGATTGAGGGCCCTGCTCAATCCGCTTACATGCTAGAGGGAGTGGGGTAAAGTGACACAAAAGTTAAGTGTAGAGCAGAAAAGTTGGTTGCTAGAATAAGAGCTTAGTGGGGTTTTATTTTTTCACATGACAGTTGCAGGTGAGGAATCAGGGTGCAGGGATGGAAGTTGTTGACAGTTTAATTGATAATCTATTATGAATAAGTGAGTTTTCAATGATTGTTTGAAGAACTGGAGACGCGGTTAAAGTCTAACAGAGACGGGAAGGGAGTTCGAAAGGAATGGTGCAGCCTGAGAGAAGTCTTGAAGGCGAGCATCAGAGGTGGGAGTATGAGCAGAGGATAAACGTAGGTCTTCAGCAGAGCGTAAGGGCCTAGACGGTACAAACTTGTAACGGATCACCTGGCACCCCGACTGGGTACCTCCGTTGAAAGATGCTCCTAGCGCTTCCAGAGGACTCCAAGCACTCCACCAGACACCATAAGCACCGCAGGCTGCAGCTATCTCCCTTCAGAACGAAGCAGGAACAAGCTCTTACAAGAGCTCAGTGATTATAGCAAGGGAATATGCCTAGCATAGCAATCCCTTGTAGCAGATTCCCCCAATAAGAGACAGGACTCAAGTTGAAGGCAAAAATAGAACTCTCTGGCTGCTAGCTTGCAGCCCTTTTTATTAAGTGCTCCCATGAAGGGGAGGGACACACACAGTAACGTACATTAACCAATCACATAATAGTTACATCCCACACATAGCCCTCCCCTCTACCTGTAAACTAATTATCTGTACACACAGGGAAATACAATTATCATAGGTAGGGAAAATACAGTTTTTACACAACATTCATAACTCCCAAAATATACATCACATTCGCATAAAAATACATATTCACAATCAATCCATTCAGGGGAACAACATATTAAAAAATGGCATGAATCAGACCAGGGGTTCAAAAGTTAGTAAAAGTATCTTTTGTTCCCCCTGGCTCAAACAGTAAAAGTAAAACATCCCCACAATGCATCCTGGCTTCCTCCCTTCTGCCCTGGAGATAATTGGAGAAGGAATCTAATTATCTCCAAAGACAGAGCCAAACTCCATTACCCACATGGCAGACAAAAAGACAGTAAAAGACATAAAATTACATACTGACACATTTAGTACATAAAACACACATTTCTACATATCCCCAGATAGCTTGGATCTGACTGCACATTATTAGATGAATGGCACTCAGATCACACGAATAAGCCTTTCTGCAGGGAAAATAAACAGTTTAACCTGCAGGGCCATAGTCCAAAGGCAAGAGGCGGGCAAGCAGCCCCCTCCAAGGACACGTGGCGAGGTCGGTTTTGCCACACTTCTCCCCTTTGCCCCCCAGACTAACAGGGTATCTGACCTCCTGCCGGTCAGTGCCCTGGTTAGTCCAGCAACCCACCCACGAAGCACAAACAGCAGTACAGCCCACCCACAATAAATGTTTACTCCACCTGGATAAAGTAGCAACTTGTCCATGTCCAGGTGCCTCACCACGGCTGTGTGGGGAGCTGGTAGACTGCCTTGGTGGGTTGCTGAGTGGGCAGAGACCAGCGGTACTCTGCCCTGGTGCCAGTGCTACCACCGAAGTAGCCTGATTGGAGCCTGGTTGTGGGAGGGGGAGACCGACCGTCTCCCCTCTGGGTACACAGCTCTGGGGCTGGGGAACAGGACCGACCGTCTCTACCCCTTGGGCTGTAAGCGCAGAGACTACGGTCCCATCTGCACAGTTGCGGGGCTCAACATCTCCCCTTGGTGGGTTAGGCTGCCGCTGGAGAGAGGGTGTAACAAGCTCCTCTCTCTGGACTGTCAACTGCCGCTGGGGAGAGGGGTTAACAGGGACAGGCTCCTCTCCCTGACACTCTCTCTGCTGGTGGAGAGGCGGACCAGCTGTCTCCCCTTTCATTATTTTGTCCTGCTGCTGGGGTGTGAGACTGACGGTCTCTACTCCCTGGGGTACACACTGCCGCTGGGGAGGAAGGACGACACCTTCGGCTCCCTGGGTTACACACTGCTGCTGGGGAGGACGGACAACACCATCAGCTCCCTGGGGTACGCACTGCCGCTGGGGAGGAAGGACGGCACCTTCCGCTGGGGCAGCCTGTAGAAAGTCAGGCTCAGGGGAAGGAAACAAGGGAGGACAGAGGCCAGCGGCGCTCTGCCCAGTTGCCAGCTCTTCTGCTGGGGGGTCAGGGAACAAAGGAGTTGGCTGGGGAGGAGAAATATCACTTACCTCCCCCTGGTACTCCGGCTGCTGCTGGGGGGGGAGGTCGATGCTCTCCACTTTCTGTAACTCCAGCTCTAGTTGGGGATCTGGGCCGGTTGCCCAGCATCCCTGTAGGGCCGGTGGAGAGATCTCGGTCCCATCTCCACCTGCCTGCAGGGGGTCCTCCCAGGACCAGTCTATGAGGTCCTCTACCTCGGGTACCTCTGGTTGCTGTTGGGGAGGGAGACCGGTTGTCTCTTCCTCCAATAACACATTCTGCCGCTGGGGAGTGAGACCGACTGTCTCCCCTCCCTGTAAAACATACTGCCGCTGGGGATCTGGGCCGGGTGCCCAGCATCCCTGTAGGGCCGGTAGAGAGACCTCGGTCCCATCTCCACCGGCCACCTCGGTTTCTTCCTCGTCCCACTCTACCTGTGGCTGGAGTTTCTCCCAACGTGCCCACTGGCCTTCCCTCAACGCCCTGTGTTGTAGGTTCCGGGTCACCATGTCCCACACGAACCGCACGTATTTCTCCTCTGGATTGGGTCCGTAAAACTTCAGGTGCAACCCTACCATCGTGCCAAACTCTAGTACGGAGTAGCTATACGCCATGCTTGCTGTAGCCACTGCTGGTTCCATTATGTTGCTGAAGATAAGGACGCTGCACAACTCCACACGTTACCGGTGTCTCCGAGCTGCTTCTCCTCGCACTAGGATGCCATCCCGCCGCTTGCCACCAATGTAACGGATCTCCTTACTGGGTACCTCCGTTGAAAGATGCTCCTAGCGCTTCCAGAGGACTCCAAGCACTCCACCAGACACCATAAGCACCGCAGGCTGCAGCTATCTCCCTTCAGAACGAAGCAGGAACAAGCTCTTACAAGAGCTCAGTGATTATAGCAAGGGAATATGCCTAGCATAGCAATCCCTTGTAGCAGATTCCCCCAATAAGAGACAGGACTCAAGTTGAGGGTAAAAATAGAACTCTCTGGCTGCTAGCTTGCAGCCCTTTTTATTAGGTGCTCCCATGAAGGGGAGGGACACACACAGTAACGTACATTAACCAATCACACAATAGTTACATCCCACACATAGCCCTCCCCTCTACCTGTAAACTAATTATCTGTACACACAGGGAAATACAATTATCATAGGTAGGGAAAATACAGTTTTTACACAACATTCATAACTCCCAAAATATACATCACATTCGCATAAAAATACATATTCACAATCAATCCATTCAGGGGAACAACATATTAAAAAATGGCATGAATCAGACCAGGGGTTCAAAAGTTAGTAAAAGTATCTTTTGTTCCCCCTGGCTCAAACAGTAAAAGTAAAACATCCCCACAATGCATCCTGGCTTCCTCCCTTCTGCCCTGGAGATAATTGGAGAAGGAATCTAATTATCTCCAAAGACAGAGCCAAACTCCATTACCCACATGGCAGACAAAAAGACAGTAAAAGACATAAAATTACATACTGACACATTTAGTACATAAAACACACATTTCTACATATCCCCAGATAGCTTGGATCTGACTGCACATTATTAGATGAATGGCACTCAGATCACACGAATAAGCCTTTCTGCAGGGAAAATAAACAGTTTAACCTGCAGGGCCATAGTCCAAAGGCAAGAGGCGGGCAAGCAGCCCCCTCCAAGGACACGTGGCGAGGTCGGTTTTGCCACAAAACTGTTAAGAAGTATAAGCTTATTATGATATTAGATACTGTCAAGGTTATAAAAAAAAAATGAAATTCAAAAGTAATTTCAAATTCAAGACCAGAGTAGCTGAACGGAAAGCACAGCTGACTTAGGAAACATTTTCTGTTCTTCTATATTGACCCTAAATGTAAAATTTGCTTTGAGTTCACTTTGAATTCTCACGTTTTTGGAATAACCTCGTGTTTCTCGAGTTTCATTGATCTTCATCCATAACTTGTTGTTTTACTTTTCTTCTAGTTGCCGCTGGTAACAATCACGGTAAGAAGAATAAAAAAAATATATAGTAAAGTAAAATGAGAAACAAAATAAAACCATAATAAAAACTCTTAACCTTCATCTATATCATATTTTCAGTATATATTAACAAAACACCTGTCCCTTAACTATAATTCTCTATGTTCCGACATCATTCCAATCTTCATTATTCTTATTTTTATGTTCTTTAAGATCACAACACAGTTATTGTATGTTACAATTTGCACCACACAAACATGGTCTGATCTATATACTCAGTATTGTGAAACACAATATAAACATATACATTATAAGTGATAAATTTGATATACAATATACAAATTTATTTTCCCACTCCTTTTTCCAGGTTGTGTATGTATATATATAGATTTCTGCTGATTTGTATTCCTCTTTTAGATATTTAGCTCTTTTTTCTGATGGTTTTACCATACAAAATAAAACAAATTAGCACTATTACTAGGGAAAAGAAGATGCATGTGCAATGTGCAAGATTTGTTAAGGAAAAATAAAGATTTAGTTCAGAAAATCCACAACTCTGCCTATGGCGGAAAATTATGTCGGAAAAAGAGGCATACAGTTGCACCTTTATTTTATACCTAAAGTGCCATTATTTAAAATGACAAAGATGCACATAATAAAATTGTTTGGATGGGAGGAGCAGACAGCTAAAATGTGGTACAAATAAAAGAATATATTGACACAACAGAAAACAAATGGCTGTAAAACAAAAGATTCAAAACAAGCAGGCTGTTAGGGTTGGCATCGTGAGAAAGTAGTTGGGAAGTAGTTGGGATAAATATCAAAGCTTCTTCTTAAAGATATCTGACTGCTATTTTGGGGTCAAGAAGGAATTTTTTCCTAGTTTGTTGCAAAATTGGAAGCTGTTCAGACTAGGTTTTTTGCCTTCTTTTGGATCAACAGCAAAAACATATGTGAGGAAGGCTGAACATGATGGACGCAAGTCTCTTTTTAGCTATGTAACTATGTAAACTATGTAAATACCTAGTTTGCCAGATGGGAAATCTACAAATGGCCCTATCCCAACTGCAATGACTCACATATTTCTTCATGGTTTATCCACTTCACCTTGTCGTAAACATGTATCTCCCTCTACATCTACAGAATCCAAGTAAGATCATTATTGCACAGTGGCATGATGTCTCCCCTGTTCAAGGAATTGCTGACTTCTCCTTCCATTTGGCTGATGAGCTCGTACTCGGAGAGTATAAAATTAATATACCTGATCAGGCCTACAGAACATTTTCTGTGTCAGAATACGGTAAGTAAAAGAACAGAGAATCATATATTGATCACTGAGTATTGCAGTATCAGTAGTTAAGTGCAATAACTATTTTTTTAAATCACTGATGTCTCCAAATATTGAAGAGAAAAAAACTTGTAAGATGTGTCAAGGTCTTTTTACTCTGTATAATATCCTTGCATTATCTAGCTAGCATGGAAAAAATGACACAAGGACCCATACCACTGAGGTATGGAGATAAGTAGTGATTGACCACAGAGCGTGGTGCATTTGAAAGTGAAGAAATCAGATGTCAGAAAATGTGTGTCTTGTGATTGTGTGTTAGTAATTCTCACTTGTAAACCATCCTCAAAACTCATGTTTTTTCAGACTTGAAGAAGTATGAACTTAATTTTCATGTTCCCTATACTGTATCTCGAAAAGCTGATGAATTTACCTTTGAGGTTTGTGGAAGGTAAGGCTAAGCACAGAATTTTTTTTTATATGTTAATAAGTTTTTTTTTAAAAATAAATAAAAAGTCTGTTAAAATCAACTGGTGTAAGTGTACCGGTTTAGTTTCAATGTAACCAAAAAAAGCATGCTAAACCTGATGGAAAACGTCAAAAAATTGATAAAAAGCAAATATAGGGCAGACTATCTGACTTGGTGTAAAAAGCACAATAGGAGGTATAGGAGAGAACTCACATGTACCAGAGCCCTATCACTCCCGGCTCTGGGTTTGAAATGCTCCATTTGAGAGGGAAGTATCCCACACTGTAATATTACATCTGCTTGCGTCTAATTTATGTTTCACTATGGTACAGTGCAGCTAGACTGAGTGTTACCTTACTATCTCTATAGCTCTTACACAATTTTGTTTTTAGTTTCAATGTACCTTATTGTGGGATTGTTCTCTCTAAAACAAAACAAAAAAAAAACCTTATAAATAATGCAATTGCAAAAATAAAAATAAACGAACATCGGATAGGTCACTCTAACAGGATTATTTACCAAAATGAATTCACACAGAACTTTAAATTTAAGGCCAGAGTAGCCAAACTGAGAGCGTAGCTGACACATTATTTTTCCAGTTTAGTTATTTTCACCTAAAATGGGAAATTACGGTAACTTTGAATTCTTTCATTACTGAATAACCTTGTAAACATTTGATCAATATCACACTGTTTACCAAATGCTTTTGACACTGATACAAGGTGGAAAACCTATAATGACTGGTCATTAGCAGTTTTGCAATTCTTTTGACACCTACAATATAACAGAATGCTTATGAAATCATGCCCCAAGACCTCCCCCTAGTGGCTATATGAAGCAAAACATCAATAAATAAATATAAATTATACCTATGTCCCCTGCATTTAATGTAAAATTGGGTTTTATAAACTAAGAAACTAAGAAAATTAGCAATCTTGTTTTCCCAGCCAAGTCAAACAATGTACAAAAATAAGCTCTGTGCTCAAACTCCCACTACTCCTGAGCAGCAGCAATGACCCTAGTACACATCAGCCTCAATAAATACAATAAAAACCAAAGAAAAAGTTACTCGCACACTATCCAAATCTCTACGCACATTTAAATAACTGGAGGTTTTTAATGTCACTCCACCTGCCAGCAATGTCAATGCAGCATGTAATATATAGCAATCATGTAATATAACCATCATTTAATATAGCAATCATGTAATATAACTATCATGTAATATAACCATCATGTAATATAGCAATCATGTAATATATAGCAATCATGTAATATAACTATCATGTAATATAGCAATCATGCCGCAAGATAGAGAACTGTCTACAGATTAGACAACAACCAAACCCCCAAAAAGTGGAACGTGAAACAAATGCATAGCAACTATTACACTGAATTAAGTCTGCCATTCCAATGAGGAGAATAATTTAAATCAAACACAACTTAACTTTTTATTTATCCTCCTGAATACCTCAGATTACCTCCAGTTTATCTCCAGAATATCTCCAACTACTCACTTAGAAACAGCACTCTCCAGAATATCTCCAACTACTCACTTAGAAACAGCACTCTCCAGAATATCTCCAACTACTCACTTAGAAACAGCACTCTCCAGAATATCTCCAACTACTCACTTAGAAACAGCACTCTCCAGAATATCTCCAACTACACACTTAGAAACAGCACTTAGAAGTAGCAACCAAGCTATATTAGCCAAGCTAATGTCAACAGCCCTTATATAACTCCTAAAATCACCACCCACTAGGAATGTTTAACACCTGGGTAGGCCTCTGCTTATTTGCAAACAATAGCTAATTTAAACAGCAATGAATAGCAAGTAATCTAATCAAATGTCTTATAATTACCAACATGAATTCAAACCTTGTGCAATCAGTAACCTTTTCCTACAGATGAATCTTACCTGTAACAGTAGAAAAAAAAGCTCTTAGCACAACTCTTAGACAGTTGAAGCTTCTGTAAAACTCCCCAGAATATCTCCAACTACACACTTAGAAACAGCACTTAGAAGTAGCAACCAAGCTATATAGCCAGCATGGGATATAGCCAGCATGGGACATAGCCAGCTTGTAATATAGCAAGCATGTGATATAGCCAGCATGGAACATAGGCAGCTTGTTATATATCAAATATGTAATATAGCAGCATATAATATACATTCACCAATAATAGCCTTGGTGCAGTACTGACTCTGAATATTCCTTCTTTCTGTTGTTGCATGTCTCACTATCTCAGAGTTCAAATGAAGAATGCAGCTTCCATACATCCCAAATATAGTCCTGCTAGCATCCCCTGTACAGCTCCCCAGTACATACAGCATTACCAGTGCATTCCTTATATAGAAATGAATTTCCTCAACTATTATCCAAAATAATTTCTTCAATTTATTTTCACCAGTTTATCTCTGAACTTTCCCTTCCTAACTTCTATGCCAGCCTCAGTTGTCTCCTAATTCAATTCACTATCATTAACCCCCTAAATAAGAACAGTGCACCAGTGTTATGCAATTTGATTAGTGCATTGTCCACAAATCTGTGTGTCTGCCATTTGTGGATCCCTCTTAGGGCAATAGTGACAATGACAGTTAATATGTTCCAATTATATGTAATTTTGAGCGGCAGTATATTGATGTATTTTGTTTTTATTTTTAGAGTATAGAAACAGCCCATAAAACACATTTATGGGAGTAATATTGTGCCTATTTTATTATTACCTACCTATGCCACATTATCTTTACCACTCACCCAATACACCTTCCCCTCCATATCTCTCCCCATTCCCTCACCCTTTTGTTTCTCCCATGCCATCTATTATTTGTGTTTCCTTCTATGTCCCAGTACACATGACATATGGTATAAAATGACTTCCTCCTTATTCTTTTACCTCATCTCATGGCCATCTCTATTGTGTTTTATACCAAGCCCATTGTCTCTCCATTAACTGTCGTAATACAATATTTGGCTCTGAAAATGATTTATGCACTCAGAAATAGTCATTCCAATACGTTACTGTTTTACATTAAGAGCAGTAGAGATGTGATGCTTCTTTATATTGAGCAAAAGAGATTCAAATTGTTGTTAAATCTAATCTCTCTATTATTTTCTAGTTTGCAACCATTTTGTTAACAGTTTTTAAAATGTCTATACTATCCTTTTCAGATACACCTTTGGGAAGCCAGTTAAGGGCTCTGTAGAAATCTATGTCTGTAAGAACAATGTCAGCCCATTCGATTATACTGAAATTGATTATGAAGAACTTCAGAATTGCCATAATATAAGTGATGCAAAGGTAAGAATTGTATGCAACTGTATTATTGTTTCCATTACTATTGGGGATGTACTTTCATATAGAAGTTTCAGTCAAAATAAAAATACCTCAATGCTTGGAGTTTGACAAGGTACAGTGCAAGTATGTACACAGTCAGAACACAGCTCTCGCTGACTTGTACAGGATAAGCAGGCATTATGTACTCACGTTGTACAAGTACTCAGAAGGCTGAATGGGGAAACATATCTTTAATGTGGGAAGGAACTGAAGTCTGGGCATGGGAGATTTCTTACCAAATAAGAAAAGGATTTAAACAGTTGTAGCTTCACAGCAGTATACACTCCTTGATAAACTGAAGTAGTTATGGCTCCTGGAGTATTCCATTAAGTTAAGGAAATCATTCTACAACCTTAACTCCTCTCTCTCTCTCAGCCATACTTGGTCTATGCTTTCCACACCTTCACTGCTACTGAGCGGAGGTGGCTGCACTTCTACTGTATTCTTGCCCCAACACTTCTCCTCTTGATCCCATTCTATCTCAACTTATAAGATCTCTCTACCCTTGTCTTGTATTATCCTTAACATATATCTTCAACTACTTTCTTTTTTCTGGTGTTATCCTTGCTCCCCTTAAACATGTTACTGTCATACACATCCTAAAAAAAGACATTGATCTGAGGAAGCATAGTATCGCGGCCATATGACCCAACATACAGAATATAAATCCACCAAACTGGGACTGAGAAAGTACCTTTACCAGTCCTTGTATGTAATGAACCTAAATAATATATAAACAGGAACGTCAAAGCTAGCAAAGGTCAAGGAGAACCAGAAATCACAATAACGAAAGCCAAAACTGGGTCAAGGAAGCAAGAAATATAGAATAGCTAGGTTAAATATAAAACAAGAGAATAGACAGAAATATAAAGGCACTCATGGGACCTTCATCCTTCTGAGGTCGATAAAATGAGTACCATCAATTGGGTAATAATAACATCTGTTACTATTCAGCTGTTGATTTGGTTAATACAGAGAGTATGTACTGATAAGTGCTTTGAGTCCCACTGGGAGAAAGGTGCAAAATAAATACTAGTTATTATAACAGGACACTGGGATATGGGCTAACTAATCTTTTATAGGTTTGGGTGTGTTACTGGAGTGAGATGGAATCTCAACATCTTTAACCCCTTAAGGACACGACATGTCTGACATGTCATGATTACCTTTTATTCCAGAAGTTTGGTCCTTAAGGGGTTAAAATAGTGCACATTTTGAAAAACAAATATAACTTTGATTATGTGTCGGACAGCTATAAAATTCCACTTCAGACCGAGGAAGAAAGTTATATGGTTTGTACTAGATCAGGTTTAGTCCACAGCAACTGTTATGTTGACAGTTTCCCACCCTTATACTAGATTGTATGTATTGATAAAACATGTATGCTAAAGACACTCTGTGAAGCTTGACAGGTTATATCCTAACTAATGTAGTGATTGGCATTTAACTGGCCCCTTGAATATAGACAAAGGAAATTAAAGTACTAATGGAATATTTTATTAGTGCAGTGTCCAAAGCTTTATTAATATACTCTTATAGAACATTATGTTATTTATCAAAACATTTTCAACTTTTTTAGACTTGATGGAATTATTAGAACGACAATCTCCTTTACAAAATATATATTTATTTATTTTTTTTTATTTTTTTTTGTGATACTGCTTTTATTTTTAAATGACATAAATATAATGCATCCAAACAGGAGAGTATTACAAATTTAAGGTATTTGTCACATTCAATATATTGTGTACCCCAAGTCTAGGGTTTAGCACCATTTTTAAAGCAACAGTATACAAGCTTCGAAAGGCATATTGCATATATATCAAGCAAGATTTGTAAGTTTGGCTTTTTGACATGTCATGTACAGTCGAGTAGTGGTGCTACATAACAACCTTTGTAGTCATAGTGGGTCGGACTTTGAGGTCCCCCAATGTCACCGTAAACCCGCATTACAAGGTATGCATAGGGTTAATAAAACATGAGAAAATAACAGGAAAAAACACAGCAGTTTTGAATGTGAGCATATAACTTGTGAGATATGTTAGCTTGTGTTCATTCAGCCGATCCCTAGGCTCGGGAAATGTATAGTTGTTGTAAGGAGGCTACTGGAGATACAGGCATAGCGGGAGTAAGACCAGGCATCCTTTCAGCCTCAGGTCCAAATTGAGGCTGGCATCTGCATGCCACAGACTCAGTCTTAAGAAGTCCATGTCCTTCCCCATTTGTGGGGGGCAGAAGGCTTTGGTGATGCTTCATGGTCTTTCCCTTGGTGGCCTTCGGCCTAGGTATTCGTAGGATAAGCTTTGCCTGAAGGAGGATCACTGGCCCCTGTACTCCTCCTCCCCTATTCTACCTATCCGATTGTCCAATGTTGCCCAGAAGCAGGTGAAGATTTCATCCAGTTTACTTAGAGACCGCTCTAATGAGTAATGGAGAGCGCCCTCAGGCTGTATAGGTGAGTTGTTAGGAAATGTTACGTACGCCATCTTAGAGTGAGCCTCCGTGTTCAGGTGAAAGCTTCAGCAGGTCTCAGGGATTAGTGCAGTTATGCGACACAGGAGCACCACGAGCTGTTGTAGCACAGACCAGGATAACCTCCACCGGTCCAAGGGGGGTGGACACAGGACTCAGCCGCAATTCATCCCGCAGGATCCCATCGGAGAGGTAGGCCACACTAGGCCTCAAGATAGACAGTACGGAGCACCGGCGCAACAAGCTAACGTAAACTTCACTGGTACAAGCAGCATCTCCGGGACACCTTTAGGGATCCTGTCCCATCTCATCTTATCAGATCTCTCCCCCTGTCTTTTTTTTTTTTTTTTTTTATTTGTAGATTTTGTATTTCAAAAGTATTTACCATCGTAGAATAGGGGTACAGAAATAGAAGGGGGGGAGTCCATGCAAAAAGAACAACATTTGCGTCTGGGGTGGCAATTGACATCACAGGTACAAGTACATATTCGGACAGACAAATGATACATATCAAAAGGGTTTGTCAGAGTAATACATTTCATACAATATTCATTTATGCGTCTAAGACGTGTACTCTCTCTAAGGCTGTGGTTCGAGTTTGTATGGTGATCCGGTGTGTCCATTTACTGGGATCCATATTGGGTTGTGGGCCAGAGGTCCAGATCGATGTCAGGGGTGTCGAGTGGGGAGTCAAAGTTGTCAGCCCCTGCCTACCTGTTTCGAGCTACCGTCTTAGCTAGGCCAGGAGTGACCCTACAATGCGTCAAATGTGGGTTGTTGTGTGCGCATCTAGTGGGCGGCGGAATGCAGCCTACCCAAGTGCACTGGGCTATGAGTCTTGTTTCTTGTTCTATCAACCCTGGTGGTATTGTGGGAGGGACATGTCGTGTTGTCAAACAACCCAACCGTTAACCCATCTGGGTAGGTAACCCAGTAGGGAGATGTGTGAGTTGCCGGTAATCAGGGTGTGTTGCCGGTCATGAATCTCGCCCATGGCGTCCATGTATCTATAAAAAGTTCATATTTATGGGAGATGGATGCGTGGATCTCTTCCATAGTTCTGATTGACTCTACTCTTGCTACCCATTCCCTGATCGTGGGGACTTCAAAATGTTTCCACTTAACCGGGATGAGCAGGTTGGCTGCCGTAAGAAGATGTAGCAGGAGAGTTCTTTGTGTCCTAGGCAATGGGGTAGGTAGGATCAGGAACAGCAGAGTGTGGGGGGTAAGAGGCAGTTGTGTACCTGTCACTGTATGGATCATCTTCACAATGTTGGTCCAGTATCTTTGTGTGAGTGGGCAGTGCCACCAAATGTGGGCTAGTGACGCTTTTGGTTGGGAGCATTTCCAGCACACATCTGGCGTGTTCGGGAAGATGTTATGGAGTTTGGCCGGGGAGTAGTGCCACCTGGATATTCTCTTATATCCACTTTCTTGGATTTGAGTGCATGTGGACGTCGTGTGGATATGTGAAAGGGCAGTCCGCCACTGAGGCATTGTGATTTGTACATTGAGGTCTGTTGGCCAGGATTCTGTGAATGGCGGCAGTTTGGTTTTATGTTCGGCCATCTGAAGTTTATAAAAAGTCGAAAGCTGTTTGGTTTTGGGGGTATTGGTTAGGCAGTGAGTCTCAAAATCGGAGAGGGTGCGGGAACCCCCGAGCAAGCTCGTGTTGGTTCTTAAGAAGTGCGTCAACTGGGCATAATGGAAAGCTTGTAATGTATGTGGGGTTACAGGGCCCACCAGATCACTCAGAGTTCGTATGGAGTTGTTCTCAACCACTGAACCCAAGGTTAGATAGGGAGCGTCCAGCATTTTAGCATACCGTTGGTATGTCTCGGGTTGCATACCTGGGGGGAATAGTGGGTTGTGGGTGATGGGATAGAGTGGGGATGGGTGAGGGGAGAGACTCTCAGCCTCTCGTATGATCGCCCAAATCTTAAGCGTGGGGAGGATGGTGGGGTGTGCGGAGCAACAGGAGAGCAGTTTTGAGGGAATTACTCTTTGCCAGGGGAGTGTGTAAAGAGGTACTAGGCTCACTGCACTCTCAAGGGTTACCCATTGGCGAGCTGGAGGGTGCGTGGACCAGTCGTGAATCCTGGATAGAATGGTTGCCCTGTAGTACCTTTCCAAGTGTGGGAGGCCCAAGCCTCCACATGACTTGTGTCTGGTGAGAACTTCATATGGAATTCTAGGTTGTTTCTGTGCCCATATAAAAGCGGTGAAAAGTTGCCTAAGTTTTGTGAAAAAGGGCTTTGGTATTGCTATCGGTAGGGTTTGGAAGAGGTATAGTATCTTGGGGAGGGAGTTCATTTTAAGAATATTGATTCTACATAGCCATGAGAACTGTGGTTTTTGCCAGTTTTGCAGGTCTTTTGAGATAGTTTGGTATAGTGGGTCGTAGTTTAGCGTGAAGATGGAAGAGAGATCCGCCGGTAGACGAACTCCCAGGTATGTAATGGATTTCTCCGCCCAAGTGAAGGGAAATGTGG